TCTTTTAAATTATGTGACTTGCATATGCTTTTGCTATAAGAGCAACTTTGATTTATGCCACAGTAGTTCTTCTGTTATCTCTGTATTTAATGATAAAATTAATTGATTTTGGGGTGGCAAAGCGATATGTTACAGTACTAAGAAATCTCGTTGCTTTATCTGAAGAGTCATTGGTCTGTTTGAAAATGATGCACAAGCGTTTTAGCTTTATGCAATTATTTGACAAAGTTTTGTAATGGACAACAGCCTAGGAACAAATAGATACCTAACTCAATAAAATCCAATTTTCAGATGGTATTATATTTTCCTGATATATTTTAACATTTTTGGTTCACAAGCACTCGTCCCAGCATTCATACATCCCTATACTCAGTGTGCACTGGACTCTTGTTCAATATTGATTTTGATGACATTATTCTAAGTTTCAGCAATTGTTTTATTTTGTTTATCACAACTTTTATGCTTCAATGAATAATTTCTGAGCCATTGATCCATTTTGCGATTTGGGAATATAAAACAAGAGCAATTCTGAAAAATGCAAATATTATGAATGTAAGCATTTACACACAAAGGAAAATTACGTGAAAATAATACCTGTCACCTGCATGCCCACTGCAGTCCCTGGAATCCACGAACAGCCTTTAAAAACACAATTATTAAAACTATAACAGGGGGCCGGCCAAGTGGCATGTTGGTTAAGAGTTGGCTTGGAACGCCTGCTCTGAGCAGCAGGACCCCGGTTTGGATCCCACATTAGGGCCAGTGACGCTGCGCCCTCTACAGCTAAGATGGTGAACAACAGCTCGACCTGGAGCTGGGCTGCCGTGAGTCGCTGGCAACATCATAGGCTGCAGCGGGGCTGCAGTATGCTACCATAAGCTAGCTACCAAGAGCTGCCGTGAGTGGCCGTCCAGTGGCTGGCAACCGATCTGCCTCACCCAGGAAGAGCGCAATGATGATACCAACATGGGCCAGTGAAGCGACGTCCTCCACAACTAGACTGAAGAATAAAAGGACAGCAACTTGTCTGTTCCCCTTCCCCAATTCCCCAATTAAAACAAATATATAGCAGGATTTCTGTGAAATCCACCAGTTTCAAATGGGTGAGATGTGTGGGTTTAAAACTGTTTCTTGCTCTTTTTATTGAAGGATAATTGACATACATTATTGTATTAGTTTCAGGTGTATGACATAGAGAGTAGACCTCTGTATATATCAAAAAATGATCACCACAATCAGTCTAGTTACCATCTGTCACCACATCAAGTTAATACACTATTATTAACCATATTCCCCATACTGTACATTACATCCCCAGGACTTATTTTACATCTGGAAGTTTGTACCTCTTGATCCGCATCATCCAGTTTTCACCTCCAACCTTCCCCTCACTTTTCTTCTGGCAACCATCAATCTGTTCTGTTTGTGAATCAGTTGTGTTTGCTTGTTTATTTTGTTTTTTAGATACAATTGAAACCATGCAGTATTTGTCTTTCCCTGTCTGACTTATTTCACTTAGCATAATGCCCTCCAGGTCCACCTATGTTGTTGCAAATGGCAAGATTTCATTCTTTTTTATGGCTGAGTGATATTCTGTTGTGTGTACACATACCACATTTTCTTTATCCATATAGACACTTAGTCTATTTCCATGTCTTGATTATTATAAATAATGCCTCAATGAACATAAGGGTGCATTAGTGTTTTCATTTCTTTTGGACAGATACTCAGAAGTAGAACCTCATATTATAGTTCTATTTTTAATTTTTTGATGAACCTCCTTGCTGTTTTCCATAATGGCTGCACCAATTTACATTCCCACCAACAGCGCATAAGTGTTCCCTTTTCTCGAAATCCTCATCAACACTTGTTATTGGTTGTCTTTTTTATAACAGCCATTCTGAAAGGTGTGTGGTGATGTAGTTTTGATTTTCATTTTCCTCATGATTAGTGATGTTAAGCATCTTTTCATGTGCCTGTTGGCCATTTGTATGTCCTCTTTGGAGTAATATTCAGATTCTTTGCCCACCTTTTAATGAGATTGTTTGCTTGTTTTGAGTTGTATGAGTTCTTTATATATTTTGAATATTAACCCTTTATCGAATATACGGTTTGCAAATATCTTCTCCCGTTCAGTGGGTTGCTTTTTTGTTTTTTTAATGGTTTTCTTTGCTGTGCAGGAGCATTTTAGTTTGATGTTGTCCCATTTGTTTATTTTTGCTTTTGTTTCCCTTGCCTTTGGAGTCAGATCCAAAAACAAAATTAAAAAAAAACCATCACTAAGACTGATGTTAGGGAGCTTAACACCTGTATTTTCTTCTAAGAATTTTATGGTTCCAGGTCTACATTCAAGTCTTTAATCCATCTTGAGTTAATTTTTGTATATGGTGTAAGATAGTGGTCCAGTTTCATTCATTTGCATGTAGCTGTCCAGCTTTCCAAACACCATTTTTTGCAGAGGCTGTCCTTTCCCAATTGTATATTTTTGCCTTTGTCATAAATTAATTGACCATATATGAATGGGTTAATTTCTGGGATCGCTATTCTGTTCCATTGATCTATGTGCCTGCTTTTGTTATAATACCACACTGTTTTGATTGCTATAGCTGTGTGGTGTAATTTGAAATCAGGGAGCATAATACCTCTGACTTTGTTACTTTTTCTCAAGATTACTTTGGTTATTGGAAGTTTTTTGTGGTCCCATACAAATTTTAGAATTATTTGTTCTAGTTCTGTGAAAAATGCCACTGGAATTTTGATAAGGATTACATTAAATCTTTTTTTTCTTTTTTAAGATTTTTTTAAATTGGGGAATTGGGGGATGGGAACAGTGCTGGGGAATTGGGGGAAGGGGAACAGACAAGTTGTTGAGCTGTTGTTCAGCATCTTATCTGTAGAGGGCAGTGTCACTGGCCCTCATATGTGGGATCCGAACCGGGGCCCTCTTCCACCCCAAGCCAGCTCTTAACCAACGCGCCACTCAGCCGGCCCTACATTAAATCTTTAGGTTGCTTTGGATAGTGCAGACACTTTAACAATATTAATTCTTCCAGTCCATAAGCACAAAATATCTTTCTATTTACTTGTGTCTTCTTTAGTTTCTCTCATCACTGTCAAATGGTTTTCAGTGTACAGGTCTTTCACCTCTTTGGTTAAATTGATCACGGGTATTTTATTCTTTTTAGGGTGCAATTGTACATGGGATTGTTCTCTTAATTTCCTGTTTGGTTTTTGTTTGTTTGTTTGTTTTTTTAGCTGAGCCATCCTGCCACCTGTTGGCAGCTCAGTGGCAGCTCAGCTCGGGCCGGGAATTGAACTGGCGACCCTGTTGCTCAGAGCTCGCACTCTTGAGCAAGCTCTTAACCAACTGAGCCACTCAGCCGGCCCCTTAATTTCCCTTTTTGATAGTTGGTTTTTATTGTACAGAAATGCAAAAGATTTTTGTATGTTAAGTCTATGTCCTGCAAATTTACAGAATTCATTTATTAGTTCTAACAGTGTGCCTCATTGCTGTGGCTAGGAGTTCCAACACTCTATTGAATGAAAGTGGTGAGAGGGAGCATTCTTCTTTTGTTCCTGATCTTAGAGGAAGGGTGGGGTTTTCTGGGTAACAGGAGTCTCTGCCTCGCCTACCCACCTCAATGTGGACCTTTCATCTTTTGTCCTGCAGGAGCAGTTCATCTGGTTTTTAGATCTTTTTCCGAGGGAAATTATCCATATGTCACTGTGTTTATGGGAGGAGGCGAGCTCATGGCTTTCCTATGCCAGCATGTGGACCCCTCTGTTTCTCTCTCTCTCTCTCTCTCTCTCTCTCTCTCTCTCTCTCTCTCTCTCTCTC